TACTACTGCTACTGCTACTACGGCTACTGCTACCACTACTGCTACCACTACGGCTACCACAACCGCTAATGGCATAGATCCTGAGGCGAACTTTTTGCCGCCTAGCCCTCAAGTGGCGGTGCCACGGAGGGGGAAGCACGTGCCCCATCGTCGACACTGGGGCACTACGATCTTCTCCATATTATACCAGAATTAGAAGAGGGAATCCGTTGGGGTTATGCAGGTCCAGTATTGATGTACGACGTACCAAAACCGTACAGCATCCTACATTGGCTGTGCGGGAGCGTGGCGCACTAATTACAGTCTTCGGGGCTATTTATCTTGAGTCTTGGTAGACCCCAAACCCCTATAGATCCTTGATAGAGCCCTTCAAGGGGCCCTTTAAGGAACCCAAATAAGCCTAAACTATCTTGAGTCTTGGTTGACCCCGGAAAGGCCCTAGAGCTGCGATTCTGCGATCCCTGAAGCCCTAAACCTCAACCCGTGAAACTTCAATCCCGGCTTTGCCGGAGCTTCATTCACTGTCTTGATCGTCACCATCCGGCCTGGCAAGAAAAGAAGGGGTGTGTCATTCGGTACATATAGCTTTCAAAATAGAATATGCTCCAGGCCCTACAGGCCTACATACTACATCAGCCTAAACCAAATGGGGATCTCAGGGGTTCGGGGTTTGAAGCTGGGCTTGCATGGCTGACGACCCAGGATTCCGCCCTGCCTCCTAACTTTGGGTGGCTTTACGCTTTAGGGGCAGCTCGTTTCTGCGCGGTTAGAGCTCAGGTGTTAAGGGCTTTGGACTTTAGGTCTTGTGGCTTAGGGTGCTTCTGAAGATTTTCGGTTTTCCTGCGGAGTGGTTTCACGTTACTTTGGCATGATGCAGTAGGGTTTCTTTCTTGTTAATGTCCCGAAGATGAGACCCGTATACATACATGCAATACATGAATATGCTGACCTACACATTGACATATGCACGCACTTCCCAATATGCGTCTCCGATGAGGGCAAGCTAAATGGTTTTGGACTGATTCGGTATCTATGGATTACAGGTCGAGATCTAGGGTTGTAAGGTTCGCATGACGATGCTTAGGGTTCGGTTTTTCGGTAATTACCTCCAAAACAACCTACCTTTGAAGATATGGAGCTCGTAATCAGGAGCCCTAAAAATGCAGGCCTTCTTGGGTCGATGCAAAATTTTCTGAAGGAGTCTTGCCCAAAGGTTCCAAAGCACCTACATAGTAGAATGATATCCCCCAGAACAGTACCTAGGACGCTTTGGGTTGTGACTTGGCCCCAGGCAGATCAATGAGAAATCGGTTGCGATCCTTGCCATAGGCGCGCGACTCCTGCAGACACTCGCAGGAATGTGCCTTTTAACCTTCAGCCCATGACCACAAGACACAGAAAGCCCTGATTACACCCTGAAGCCCTAAACCCCAGACCTAAAACCCCAAAGCCAGAAACCCTGAAGCCCTAAAAACCTAGTTGAGGACCATCGGGAATTCACTTCAAGGCAAGGAAACCCTAACAAATGTAGAACAACTACTCTTTTTCCAACACTCGACCTATGCCTGTTTGTCGTGCTATGTTGGGGCCAAATGCTTTGGACTTCCATGTGGGCTTTCCGAGTGCCTCGTGCAAGATTCAGGGACTTTGAATTCTAGAGCAAAAACAGAGCTTAAGGGCTTAGATTTCAGGCTGTAGGGGTTTATGGGATCAGGGTTTAGGGGTTTAGGGTTTAGGGTTCAGGGTTTAGGGGCTTATGGATTCAGGGATTATACGATGTGCCCTAAAAGAGGTTAAAGGTCTATGTAACCCCGGTTAGTGACGGTTAGTGTGCCTTTATAACTCACTCCCTTCCTTACCGCTTAGGGGCTGAGTACCCTACAAGGTTCACCCTTTGAGCTATGGTAGGATTATACAAGCCCCAAAAGGTTATTAAGGGATACCTACTGAGCTACTAAGATAGAGATTGCTGTTCAAGCGTAGTGGGGTCAGGGAGATATAGCAGTCCAAGCGAAAGAATGGTCAGCTTCGCAAACGTCTTATTAAAATCAAAGTCCAACGCGGTTTACTTTGTTATCTAGGCTGTTCAGTAACCCAGTGGCAAAAAGTATATGCTGTTTTAAGCTTCTTATTTCATAATAGGAACCCAGTAACCTGAAAGTGAAAAAGTGTACCACTGAACAGCCTGGTTATCTGGCCACCCGCTAAGGAGCTTCTTCCTGTGTTAGGATGAACGGGATCTAGACAATGCAATACCTAGTTCATGGTTGGGATAGAATGAAAAATTTCAGATTTTATTCCATATTGGGTTTAAATACCCATACAAATGTCAAACGTTACCCAGCTATGACAAAGATACAGTGTGCTTACGTCTGCAGCCCGCAAAAATCGCCCCCTCTGGTGGCATACAAGGTTAAACTTGCAGCAAGCTTGCCACCAAGAAGTCTTCGAACTGAGCCTATTACAGGATTTCAGGACTTAGCAAGTAGTGCAAGTACCTATATCGCCGTCTTAAATACGACTATGCTTGCCTTACTTCTCAACCTACATACTAAGTCTCCAGCAAGGTAGTAAAAGAATCAGTCAGCTAGGATACCCAGTAACCTAAGAATAAAAAGGCCTCTCTTTTTGGTATTGGGTAGCTTTATAAGGAACCTAGGACTGCAAAAAGGGAATAAGGGTACTACTGGGCATCCTAGTCAGGTATTCGGGTTGCGACGGAATACATGGAGGATCATAGGCTCCGAGGGCTTCGTCAGGAAGGTTCTAAGTACCTTCGTTGGGGTTGTAAGTACCCAGACCTTCCAAAATCCCTTAATTAAGGAATATACCTTAAATCATAATAGGATCCCTAATATGAATTAAGGTATATTCCTTAATTAAGGGATTTTGGAAGGTCTGGGTAGTTACAAACAAGCATACTAACCTCAGTTCTAACCTTAAACTCCAAGTCCCATGATCCTCCAAGCAGATATTTGGATTGCGGAGTTCTGGGTGAACACCCTGAGCCCTAAACTTACCCTGAACCCTAAACCCTAACCCTAAACCGCACATCCTTTTGCGCATCGGAAAACCGGATCGGCAGTTTTATGGGTTTTGCAAACCCTAAACCCTAAACCCCTGAACCCTAAACCCTAAACCCTAAACTTGCAAGCTCTTCGTGTCCGAGGCTTGGGGATCTTGTCGTGCGGGGATGCACGTACCCTACTTGAGGCCCTTTTGACTTAGTAAGGTTAGGGTTCCTTTAAAGGGGCTCCTAAAAGGGATCTATAGGGGTTCCTTAAAGGGATCTATAGGGTTTAGGGTTTAGGGGTTACTTGGAGGCCCTTTTGACTTAGTAAGTAGGGTTAGTAAGGTGGGTTATGGGGATTATAATAGGGGTTCTAGCGGATACTAAGTAGACTTACTAAGTCAAAAGGGCCTCCAAGTAATATAGGGGTCTTGTATAACATGGGGTACAATATACCGTTAAAGATATACCTCAAACCGTAATAATGAGCCCCGATACCACATAGAGGGGTCTTGTATAATAGTAAGAAGCTTTTGGGGTACATTATACTATTACTAACTATCCAGGTCCGCCAAACCGGAATGCGTAAACCCTTCATAAAAGATATAAGTCGAACCGTGATAATGAGCCCCGATACCTTACGGTATATTCCCGAATTGCAGGGTATTGGGCCAAACCCGAAAGCCGAGACCGTGAGGGTCCAGTATCTTTGGACTTGTGGCTTTGAGTGCTCAGGGTGTGGGCTCGGGTCTGAGGGTATGTGTTTTGGGCATCTAACAAGAAGTGGGTTTAGCGACCAGGGTGTAGGGTTTAGCGAGCCTAGTCATAATAAATATTCTGTAAGCGTTCCTAGTTTAACAGACAGATCAAAATCTACCAGACCCCACATGATGGTAGGATATACTGCGGAAGGGTCTGTTCATGCATGTTTGCACAACCCCTAAATCCTCAGGCCTTCAACCCGAAGCCGCAAACACCCTAAATCCCAGACCCCTGAAGCCTGAACCGGCGGGTCTGGGCAGGTGGGGCTTCGGCTCATTCGTTGCGCAGATCATATGCGGGTGTCTTACAACTATAGGAAACTCCAGAAAGTTGGAATATGGTTTCATGGTAGGATACCCTATAATTTACCATAGAAGGGTTAGGATAATCATATTCCAACTTTCTGGCTTCTACCTTAAAGTCACTTCACTTGCGAGTTGTTCCACGGAGGACATGATGGGTTGGGTCTACTTAGGGCTTCAGGTGTGCTTAGTCTGCCTATTTCTGACACTTCCATATCCGTCAATGCGAGCTGCATGTCGTGCTGCATGTCGCAGAGGCCTTTCTGTGGCCGAGTGTGAAACGATTCCTTCCCGCAAACGTGCCGGAAAAGGTGTCACGCATTCTGCGTGAAGAAAGCAAAACTGCATCGCAGGCGGGAAAGGCCTAAAGCAAGACCTATATGACTATGTATGGGTAGTTCTCTACATCAGGGTCCCTCAATTTTATGTCCCCAAGGCCCGAATTAAACGCCACCCCTATTGAAAAGAGCCTGAAACGGATCTAATTTCGAGATCTACCTATAATTCCACAGGAACAGAGAGCTTGCCTACGGCATACCGTCAATCGCAATCAGAAGCCCTGTCTAATGCAAGGTAAACAGCTTACGGTCTGGAGTTTAGGGTTACAGAAGGTTAAGGGCGGTCAGAAATACCTTACGCAGAAACTCTACCGACATCGAGGTGGGTTGCTGTGTTTGAGTAACCCCAAATCGCCACAAAATCCTCGTGACGCCAACCAGTACTACGTACTTTGAACATCTTTGAACTATATGGTCAGAAGCCGAAGCCATTTGCAAGCTGCTGTAGATGGGTTTACAAAATGAAAAGCATTCTGAGGAACAATGTCGCCAACATTAATCCCTAAACCCGAACCCTCGCACCTTACTAACCCAAAAACCCTGCCTAAAAACCTTCACAACGTCAACCGTCAGCCCAAAACGATCGCGTCAGCCGCAGCAGCCGCACCTAAAGGTCGCTCAGAGACCAGAGACTACGTGAGGGCTAAAGGATCCCTAAAGGTACGTATGGTTTAGGGCTTTCAGGTTTTAGGGTGGAGTCTTGCACATCAGGCCGGTTCTGGGCAGGGTGCGGAACCCAGGGTTTAGGGTCGAGAGATCGTTCGTCAACCTGAACCTTTTTCGACTATGCTGACTGTGCCATCTGCACCGAAGCTTGCAAGCTCAGCTACGAGGCTCAATATAAGGCCTTAACAGTTACCCGAATCCTACAAGCCCTACCTTTTTTGGACTCCTTCTTGTGATTTCCTTTTACACGTCCTGAAAAAGGAAGGTTCGGGTAGACTTCAGGGTTTAGGGGTAAGACCACTTGTTCGAGGATCCTCGACGTCATCCTCTTCCTGGACAGCCATAGTACTAATATAGGGGCCTTAATAATCAGAATAGGGTTTTGGGCCCATTATACTATAATTATGACAAGCAACCCCATTTTGCTATAATTACAATAAGGAACCCCCAAAATAGTATAGGTAACTATTAAGGCCCCTTATATACAACCCTATTGCAAATCCCTTGATCTCTTTAAAAAAGAACCCCCCCAAATAGCAGAGGTAATTATTAAGGCCCCTAGTACTACAGGAGCGGCATCCCGAAAAGCCGATTGAACTCTTCAGGGCATTCTCTGGGTGCCCAGATTAACCAAGGAATATAACCTTATTTCATATTAGGGCTCCCATGATAATTTAAGGTATACTCCTTAGCTACTGTACTTGGAGGCCCTTTTGACTTAGTAACTAGGGTTAGTAAGGTGGGTTATGGGGATTATAATGGGGTTTCTAGGGGATACTAAGTAGACTTACTAAGTCAAAAGGGCCTCCAAGTGTATCGCTTCAGTCAAGTACACGTCGCAAAGCACAGAGCCTTAGGGTTTCCCACGTTGGATAATAGGATCCTGATGATAAGGACCCGTGGCACAAGGATTGCTTGTTTCTCAACCTGCATACAATAAAACCTTTTCTGAAATCCTAATGTTGCACTATGAAACATTTATACAACCCCATACAACACCCTTCTATAACCCTTAGAAGAACCTTGAAACCCAGTACTTGGAGGCCCTTTTGACTTAGTAAGTCTACTTAGTATCCCCTAGAAACCCCATTATAATCCCCATAACCCGCCTTACTAACCCTACTTACTAAGTCAAAAGGGCATCCAAGGAGACCCCTTTAAGTAGACCCTATACCTTATAGAAGCCCTTAGAGACCCCTTTAACAGGCTTCAGAGGAGCTATAATAGCCCTTATAGTAGCCCTTATAGACCCCCAGTAGATGCTTCTACAAAACCCTTATTGAATCCTTTAAGGCGGCCAATGGTTCCTGCAAGGGTTCCTTCACGGGTATCTTGGAGGATCATGGGACTTAGTGAGGGTTCCAAAAAGGGCTCCGATAGGGTTCCTTAAAAGGGAGGTATAGGGTTTAGGGTCGTGAGGGTTAAGGGTCTACTTGGAGAATCATGGGACTTAGTAAGTGAGGTTACAAGTGCCCTAACTGGGGTCGCATGTAAGAATAAGTATGGCTACCTGTTTTATCACCCTACATACTAAGTCCCATGATCCTCCAAGTAGACCCTTAACCCTAAACCCTATACATTATACATCCCTTTTAAGGAACCCTATAGGTCCCTTTAAGGAGCCCTTTAAGGAACCCTTACTAAGTCCCATGATCCTCCAAGTAGTTCCTTTAAGGCTACCTGATGGCTTGCAAGAAAGGGCTCCTCTAGTTTAAGCGCCCCAAGGAGAACCCACGAATCTAAGCCTGAGGCATAGAATCCAGCGGACCACTATCCATGGGCTTCAGCCGGATGAGAAACCTTTCGAAAAGGTTTGGGGTCTAGGGCTTGAGACTATAAGGGTTTCAGGGTTTAGAGTTTAACGTTTGAGGTTAAGGTATTTTTGGATTTTGGGTTTTGGGTTTGGGGATGTTTGGGGTGTAATTTCAGATGTTGGGGCCTTGATGTTCAAAATAGAGCTTAGGGTTACACGTTACACGATACCAGAATGATTATCAGGAACCCTAAACCCTAAACCTTAGGAATACTCTTGGTACCCTCGCAGCAACCTTAGCTTTAGCAACTCTCGAACTGCACCTCGAACTCAGACTAAACCCGATGTCATCCTAAACTTAGCGGCTGAGTGCCCTAGCCCAAGAAAGGGTAGGGTTTTGATTTTTAGGGGTTGGGGTCTAGGTTTTAGGGGTTTAGGAGTACCCTAGCTCAAAAAGGGCTAACCTTTCCAATTATGGTAGTACCGTAGGATTGTGTCTACCTGAAAAGGTTAAAGGTTACCTATTCAGCTACTGAGTAACCCTAACCGCTGCACCCTTTGCGATCCGCGATGAACAGCTCCCTAACTTACTTAACCCTTGCATTCAAGGGATCTAGGACTTAGGAAGTAGCTTATACCTCAGGGCTTTGGGAGGCTTTACCATGGGCTTACATGCTTTTTGATCGCTTTCGGGGTCAGAGGAGGAGGTAAGTGGTGTATGGTTTATATTACTAGTACCCCCATAATAAAACCATCCCAAGAACCGCTACAAGTATGATCATACCGATTCACGCTTACCTACTCAGCCACGTACCAAAAGTTTGACCTACGTGGCTCTTCGCCAGCCTAGCTAGCACAAAAAGCCCACACCGAGTCTCAAATTACACTCTTACCAGTGTTGTCCACTGATACGTCTCCGACCTACAGCAAGGCATGTACTTTGGACCTGCAAGGATACTGTTGTGAGACCCTGCCCGTGCCTAAGGCGCGGCCGCCGGCGGAGGCCATCCATCAGTGGGTGCCACTGATGGAAAACCTGTCGAGGCATTGAGAGGAGGGATTTTGACAACAGCAGTCCCAGAGAAGCCAATACCCCTTAATTAAGAAAGATACCTTAAATCAGAATATCAAGCGCCCTATAAGTTAAGGGATGATCCTTATTTAAGGGGTGTTGGGATCTTTGGGTTTTTCAACCCTCACTCTATGCGGTTCCTATCATCCCAATCCTCAAAAACCCAGCTCCACCTCAATTGGGAATTGCAGATAGAAGGAGCCCCTTACCCGCTGAATACTCTTAGGTGGCTGGTTATCAGTAGGGCTTCCAAACCAGAACCCGAGACTCTCTCCTTCAATTGCCGGGCCCCAAAATTTGACAAAATTTCACAGATAGAGCATATATATATATGTATATAATATATATATATATATATATAATATATATATATATATATATATATATATATGTATATATATATATATATATATGCCAGGCCAGCAAGTGTAAAGTTCTCCCATTGGCTATCTAAGTTATTTCGGGCTAAACATAATAGGGTTCGGGAGTATTTATATATAAGATAGAACTTTGTAGGGTGATAAAGGGGGGTAGCTACTATCACCCGGTATTCAGAACCTCTAAGGAGATGCTCTCGATACACACTGCCTCGTTGGTAGGGAAAATCGGCTGGCGATGGTCTGGCACGTTGATGTGAACCTGCACCGTGCCCCCCCCCAGACCTTCCAAAATCCCTTAATTGAGGAATATACCTTAAGTCATATTAGGGGTCCTATTATAATTTAAGGTATATTCCTTAATTAAGGGATTTTGGAAGGTCTGGGCCCCTCCCCCCTTTGAGAGCTTGGGCGATTAGGGGAACTTAGGGTGTAGGAGCTTTCCCTACGGCTTACAATCGCCCAACAGCCTGATATGGTATGGCATTTCGACCGGGAGCCTAAAAATCGGAGTCCATCGCGCCGCAAAGTTTGGGTATTGGAGAGTTTCTGGTGGCCCCCCCCAAAAAGTTCTTGAAAGTCTGGAAACTGCCTCTAGCCCTAGTCGAGGCTCTACTGCGCTCATGGTGAAATCCGGCAGACACCCCATAGAAGCCAGACTGATTCGACTCGGTCTTGGGGGGGAGCTTTCTTCTATGATTCTGCTTGCCAGCCCTAGGAAACACCAGTTCACTAGAACCTTTACAATAACAGCAGTAAAAATCTGTTCAACGGAACGCCTTCGCGGAACCCTAAACCCTGGTCCCTAAGAGGACGAATTGGAGCAGGGGTCCTTTCCACGGTTCCTCTATAAGACTCTATGATGAGGGCACGACTGGGGCACCGAGGCTTAACCAACCTATTAAACATGTTGAAGCCCTTATAAGTTCTTGTAAATCAAAGCCCTGAATCCTAAACCCAAATTCTGTGAAAGCCGGAACCCAGCCGACCTGGTAGGTAGGATCCACCGTGTGGAAGAAAATCTGGTAAATCTTTTCCCTGCAGCTTCAGGCCATAATGTTTTCGGATTGAAGGCTCTCGGCTTTGCTGCTGACTTCTGAACCCCTCCTAGACGTAAAACTTTTAGCCTCCTTATCAGTTTCATATAGAAACCCGAAAAAAAAGTCCTAAAAGCTAACCAGAAGAACGTCAAGACTTGTGGGAGTTTCCAAAAACAGGGGACCCCAATATGGTAACCTAAATAATAGGATCCTTATTATAAGGACCCCAAAATAAGGTACCCCCAATTTTCGGAAACTCAAAACCCTAAACCGTCTATAGAACCCTTATAGATCCCTTTCAGGAACCCTTTAAAGGACCCCCAGGACCAGGAGACTTCGACGTACTCGCACCTACGAAGTCGCCTGATCGACGCGCAGTCTCAGGCTAAACTTAGAGGCTGAGCATTAGGTACGGCCCCCGTACAGTAAGAGTCTATAATAGGGCTACTATTAAGGTCCTACTATATCTATATTATGAATAGTATTCGACTATTACTGAGTGGGGGGCCGTACACAAGCTAAGCAACCTAGCCCGAACCCTAAACCCTAAACCCTGAACCCTATAGCAAAAAAGGAACAGCTTTTGAATTATAATTAGTAGGATGATATCCGCCCCAAAAGGTTCAGGGTTACCTGCTCAGCCCCTAGGTAAAAGAGTCTAAAGCTTTTGAGTGTAGAGTGTGCAGTTCACTCTTTCGGGGTTTCGGGTTTAGGGGTTTAAGGACTTTAGGTTAGGGGATTAGGGTTAAAGTTGCCAGCAATTGTCGTTTCAATGTTTTTGATATGTTCTTCTTCACCCGTTTCGTCCTGACACGCCTTTTCAGGAGTTGAGATTGCCAGCCCTTTTCTAATTCACCTTTACACTCTGCAAAACCCTAAACTCTACACCCTTGCGCTAACCAATTTCTACTTCAGAGGGCCCCTTCGCAAAACCCTAAACCTTCTCCCACAACTTCAAGCTTCAAAAGATAGACCTAATATGTAAAGCCTAAAAGGGGAAGTTCTCTCATTGGCTATCTAAGTGATTGGTTGAAGAAGAAGAAGAATGGGGTTGGGGGCTATTTAAGATAGGACTTTATTGGGCTATTTGGGCGTACTATCGCTCCGTATTCAGAACCCTTGACACTTTAAGAAGCGCTTATCAAGCGCTACTATCACTCGTCACCCAGAACCCTAAACCCTAAACTAGCATATGGGGGCCTGATTACTTAGAAGAGGGTTTTGTGGTGTGATCTGGTATGAAGAATACTATCCTAATTCTCAGGGCCCGCTATCGAAACCCTATAAGACCCACAAAAAACACTCTAGGCATCCTATTGAAAATATTCAGGCCTTTACATTGGGGCTGCAAAGCCGCAGGTTAGCCTAGAAGTGGTTTAGGGTTCAGGGTTCGAGGGGGGGTTCTGAACCCCTGCTTTTATTTGGGAACCTGTACGACTAACCTCTACTTTATGGGAACCCGCCCGAAGGGTTACTTTACGGGCTCCTTTAATGGGCCCCAGGCTCCGTTTTAGGCGTTCCGGGCTAACTATATGGGAGTTTCCGAAAATTAGGGTACCTCATTTTGGGGGTCCTGATGATAATGCTCCCATTATTTAGGGTACTGTATTAGGGTCCCTCATTTTCGGAAACTCCTGTATTTAATTGGGCTTAGTGTTTAGAGGGCTTGCTAATCAGGGGTTTACATGAGCCAAAACCCCAAGTGAAACGAAATTTAAGGCCCCCGACGAGCTCTTTCCGCCCACAAGCGAGAGAGACCTCACTCTGAAACGTGTTGTGAAGTTCAGCGTTTGGCACAGGGGCCAGAATGATTAGAAAGGCATTCACGAGGTATGTGTATATCTGTACATATATATATGTATGTGATATGCATACACACCATATGCGTATAGGGACTTTAGGTGGAGTACCGTTAGACTTGGTTCAGACTTCTATTATGATCCTGATGCTTAGACCCGAAAGATGTTGGAGAGCCCGGACCCGTAAGGGAGTTGATAGAACATGATTATGTGGCTTTTGAATGATAATCGATCCGATACGCTTATGATCAGTTTTCATGCGGCCGTATAAGGACAGGGGTTGACATTACAACAAAGATGAAAGATGATTCCCGAGTCACATTCAGTTTAAGGCACAGATAGAACGGAACCCTGTTGTTGGTCCTAGGGCTTACCTGGACCCCAAATAGCCTACCTTTTTAGGGTTCCCTTGTAAGATTTCTTTATAAAAGTCCTTAAAAGGGTAGGTTATTTGGGGTTAAGGTAGACCCTGGAGCCAAAACCCTGAACTCAAAACCCTAAGCCCTAAGCCCCAAACCCTAAATCCTAAACCCAAAGCCCTAAACCCTTGACCCTAAACCCTAAATAGCCTTGACCCTAAACCCTAAATAGCCTTGACCCTCAACCCTAAACCGATTCTTAGGATTCGGGGATCAGTGTTGCTTGGATTTTCTTGCCAAAGGGATCCGAACAGGGAGTCGGTGAACATGACCCCATCTTAGCCGGTTTAGGGGTCTAGGGCTTTAGGGTTTAGGGTTTTGGGCCTTAGCGCTTAGGGCTTTAGGGTATAGGGTTTTGGGCTTTAGGGTTTAGACTTTCTGTTGTTTGCGGGGGTGTCCAGGTTTTGGATACTTTTCGGGATCTTCGTTTAGGGTTTACGACTCTTTGCTTAGCTGGCATCTTGGTTCATAGCCAGGGAAAACTGTAAGCTTTCAACCGCAGAACCCTTACACTGCCAGTAACCGTAGGACCCTTCCGTAGCAACCGTTAAGGGAAGCCGTAAAAGCGCCGACACTCAAAGCCTATGATGAGGACCCTTGTTTCCTTTAAAGTGGAACCCTAAAAGACTCTCGGAGAAGCCTCCCGTCTTCAATAAACGTACACGACAAAGTTCAAAGTGTCTGCGATAGACCAAATAAACATGAAGCCAACAAGTGCAAAGTTCTGCCGTTTAGCTATCTAATGGCTCGAGGGCGCCCTATACAATAAAAGAAACTGCTAAACCCTAAACCTACAGTTTTGGCGTTCCTTAGTATGATTTCCGTTTAATTCCGTAAAACAAATTTTTTTGGGGGGTAAGGCGCACCCCAACCCCCGAACAGAAAGCCCTAGAAGTAAAGCTCGAAGGCCTCGATACTCAAGCTTTTTCAACCTCATACTCATCTAGTTATAATACGGAACCCTAATGAACAATATATAGGTAATCATTTAGGCTTATATAGTACTGTGGTATATCCGGAGAGCCCAATACCCCGTAATTAAGGAATGTAGCTTAAATCATGACACCAAGCCTCATAAAATTTGATGTATATTCCTCACTTAAGGGGCTTGGGGGCTCTTTGCGTAATTGAAAAAGGGAACTCCAAGGCATAGCTAAGGCCTGCAGCAAATAACGACGCAATGACCCAAACCGCGAAGGATAGAATGGCGCTAGGCCGTTACACCACCTAGACCCTGTAAGGAACCCTAAACCCTGAATCCTGATAGGAACCCTCAAAGGACCCCTAGAGCAACCCTTATAGTCACCCTCGCAGGCGCCAGGGCGTATGGGGGCTTCGCACTGAGGGAATTCTTCTCAAACAAATGCCTTGGAGTCCTGTTCAAGTCTCATCACAAACACTTGCACATGAAGGGGTGCTGGGCTTTGGGATTGGGCTCAGGGTTTATGGACGTGTGGGCTTAGGGTTTAGGGCTTAAGGTTCACAGGGCATTGGGCTCTTTGGGAAGAGAGGTAGGGAGAGAGAGCGGGAGAACAAATGTAAACACACATGCATGTACATACATCTATATCCCATATAAAGTATGACATGGTACTGATGTAATACCATGTAACATAACAACATGTAAAACAACATGTTACGATACGGTATGTCATGACAAAGCATAACGCAATGGAGTGTAACATGATATGACAAAGTACAACTTATAAAAACAATGTAACTTAACAACAGACTATAAAAATAGAATACTACAAAATGACCTACAGAACATGACAAGTTGTAATGGGGGCGTTATACCATATAGTTAACACAGTATAATGTCATGCAGTTTAATAAAACGCTATATAAATTAAACCACATTGTTTATTCTGTCATATTCACCAACATAGTAGAACACATATTTCCATCTAATCTGGGGCAACAGCACAGAGTATACTGTACTGTTTCACAAAACAAAATGGAACAGCATACCATAAGCTAACACAACATAACATATGTCCATGCAGTATAGTATCGCACAATATAGTTGAATTCAATACTGTCGAAAATGTAACACAGTATGATACACTTTAATAAAAGGCAAACCGTATGGTAGTACAAGAAAACAACAACATTAAATCTAAACTGAAGAATAAGAAATAACAGCTGATACAATCATATGATGCAACATCATACAGTATAGTGCGACGTGGATACAACATAAAAAATTCTAAAACAGTATAGGTCCGAGGTCCTGGCAGCCTGTGCATGACCTTCAGGGCCCCTGCCTGGAGCGAAGATTTGGGGTGATAGAGTTTAAAGTTGTGTTGGGCGGGTTGCCAATTACCCTACTTGGAGGCCCTTTTGACTTAATAAGTAGGGTTAGTAAGCTGGGTTATGGGGATTATAATAGGGCTTCTAAGGGATACTAAGTAGACTTACTAAGTCAACAGGGCCTCCAAGTAGAGTTTAAAGTTGTGTTGGGTGGGTTGCCAAATACCCTACCCTACCCTAACCTACCCTTTCCTCCAAGCCCTACCCAATCCTGCCAACTTAACCTACCCTACCCTAATCCACCGGTTCAGGGATCGAAGGGTAAGGGATGTAGGGTTTAGGGTGACGGTAAGGGATGTAGGGTTTAGGGTCCAGTGGCTTAGGGTTTGGGAAATAGGGGTACTGCCAATACCCATGGTTGTCGTAGGGCCCATGATGCACGGTATGACAGGCTTTATACCGAGAACCTGCCACAAGCCTATGTTACGGTGGCTTAGGGTAGACCTTCAGTCAAGAATCCTGAACATCAGCTTAGACTTTTTCAGCATGACGCCCTTGATGCTAAATCCCAAAATGAAGCCTTAATATAGGAGCCTTAATAATTAGTGTTTAGAATAGGGTTCTGGGGTATATTACACTAGAAGTGTAAGAAGGAACCACCAAAATAGTATAGGTAAGTATTAAGGCCCCTATCTTACATGGGAGCTCCTCCGTGCTGCATGGCGTGCCGGAAGGAAATACTCACTGGCGCAAAACCCAAGGGAATAAAAGTTGAAACTTTCAGAATCGACTACCTTATAAGAACCCCAAAAGTTGAAAAGTTTAGTTTACAGCCAATAAGAAAAGGAACCCTATTCCAATTCTTAAGGCCTAAACCCTATAGATCCCTTTTAAGGAACCCTACAGATCCCTTCAAGGAGCCCTTTAAGGAATAGTGGAGGAGGATATCTCGGAGGCTCAAGCAGGGGCCTGATCAATTCGACTTCTAGGCTTCGGCCAACAACTCAAACCCTAACACCCTAACACCCTAAAGCCCTAAACCCGAAAAGCTCTAAACCCTAAACCCCTAAATCCTAAACCCCTAAACCCTAACACCCGAACACCCTAAAGCCCTCAACCCGAAAAGCTCTAATTGAACCCTAAACCCTGAAGTTCGGGTCATTTTATGCGGTCTCCGGCGCCCTTCGGGGAATGGAGGCCCTCTTCCCCCGCCGCCCCGCAGAAGACCCTTAAGAAATACCCCTATCGCAATACCTACTTGTCGGGTATCATGGGGAACTAAAGGTTAACCTGTTTGGTTATATAGGGGCTATATAGGGACTATACTACCCAAAAAAGGTTAAAGGTTCCCTACTCTACTACAACTAGGAATATGGAGCCTCCCAGGGAGTATCCTGAGAGTACCCGGATAGTAACCCTATAGTATGATACTTCATACCTTTGTAGTAGTTAGTATAGTACCCCTAAAGGGATCTATTAAAGGAAAGCTGAGTAGGTGTGTGTCCTGGAGCAAACAACTTTAAACAACACCCCTAGTTCATAGTTGGGATACGAAAAAACTGCGCTTTTATTCCTTATCGGGGTTAAGTAGCCATAAAAATGTAAAGTGCTACCCAACTATGACAAAAACCCGAAAGCTATGCCCAGACTCAGAGCAATATGCCAGGTGTCTGTGATTTCCTTACGTTGGATACTCGAACGCAACTGGGAGGTCCAAGCAAATCGTCCCAATAGCCCTAGATAGTTTCAATGATGGTTCCGCTACGGCATGGTCCGTAAAGGACGCCCGTCGGGCGATCAGCGGAACCTGTCGTTCGGGTTCTCAGGCGCGCGGGGCAGCGAACGCCCGGTTCGTCGAACGGTGCAGGGCATCTGGCTCTGGCGAAGCTCCAGCGTCTGGTCACCATCAATGAAACCTCCAGTTTCAGTCCCATCTGCATACAACCTTAGAATCGAAACAACCCTAAACCCTTCAACCCTTGAAACCCATCCACCCAACTCCAAAAAGCCAAACTTTCAACCCCCACATATAAATCATCCTAAACCTTTAGGCGTCATGGTTTTAGGACGCCTAAAGGTTTAAGGTTTAGGGTAAGCCCAAACCCCTTTACGCCATAAATCCTAAACCCTAAGGCTTTCAGCTTTAAGGTAAACCCTGATCCCTAAATGGTTTAGGTTTAGGGTATAGGGTCTAGGAGGGTTTACAAACATCCCTAAACTGTAAAGCTTCCTCCAACACCCTTACAGCACCCATATACTTGAAAGTACACTGCAAAAAAACCTAAAGTACCCTGATGGCATGGTGGTACCCTCATAGACTCATATTGCCCCAAAAGGAATACAGCGCCTTGACAGTGATTGATGGCCCTAAATGCTAAACCTTCATCTCTACTATAGGGGCCTTAATAATTAGAATAAAGCTTTGGGGCGCAATATACCATACCCATAATAAGGAACCCCCCCCAAAAAACAGTATAGTTAATTATTTTGACCCCTATATTTACGCCCTCAGAGAAGGCACCTCAGAATAGTAGGATCCTTATTTCCGGACCTCAAAATGAGGTACCCCTAGTTTTCGGAAACTCCCATCTCTAAACCCTAAACCCCTAAATCCTAAACCCTAAACCCCTAAACCCTAAATTTCTCTAACCCCTAAACCCCTAAACCCTAAACCCCTAAACCCTAAATTTCTCTAACCCCTAAACGCCTAAACCCTAAACCCCTGCACCCGAAACCCCTAAACCCCTAAACCCTAAACCCCTAAACCCCTAAACCCTAAACCCCTAAACCCTAAACCCTAAACCCTAAAATTCCCTAAACCCCTAAACCCCAAAACTCTAAAATTCTCCAAACCCTGAAATTCCCTAAACCCAAAAATTCCCTAAACCCTAAGATTCTCTAAACCCTAAAAGTCTCCAAAAACCCTCAAAGAAGGAACCTCGGAGCCGCCGTCTTCCGGGATCAAGTTGACCCGGAACCTTCGGCTGCTACGGCTAATGATATAAATCCTAGGGTTCCTTTTAAGGGATCTACAAAAGGAGGGACCCTTAATGGAAACCCCTACCCTATAATGGGCTATATAATGGGTATATAATAGCTATATTAAGGGTATATACCTACGGTTGATGATATGGGAGTTTCCGAAAATTAGGGGTACCTTATTTTGGGGCCCTTATAGTAAGGATCCTACTATTTAGGGTACTATATTAGGGTCCCCTATTTTCGGAAACCCCATATAAATCCTGGGGTTCCTTTAAGGGGATCTACAAGGGTACCTTTAAGGGGTTCCTTTAAAGGGATCTATGGAGGTTTTCGAGTTTAGGGTTTAGGATGATATAAATCCTGCATACCCATAATAAGGACTGGTAAATTTCGCGGCCCAGGGTTCGGGCAGTTAAGCTCAACACCGATTGGCCTTAACTTTTGGAAAAGGGGTTGAAACTGTAGTTTACGGCTGGATGTAGGGTTTGGGGGCCGATGAGCCTTAACTCTTGAAGTAGCGGTTTCGTGGCCGAACAGCTTCCAGTGGTCGCGCACCCTGAAAAGGTAGCAAAACAACGGCCCGAAAGTTAGCGACCGTTGAGTTCAACACGAGTGTTGAACTTAACTGGTTTCACTGACCTTAACTTTTTTCAGGCCTGGAACTACCGTCAATTGTTTTTTCGCTGCCCCCAATGGTTTTCAACAATAACAAGATTCCGAAACACATCCCGACTACTTGTGGCCAGTCCAAATGGTATTCAGCGAGTATTTCTGTCATCTTGTCAGTAAACACAGCAGCCAGTTTGGGGTTTGGGGTTTGGGGCTGGGGGTTTGGGGTTTGGGGGTTTGGGGTTTGGTGATTTGGGGTTTGTGGTTTGGGGTTTGGAGTTTGGGGGCTTGGGTTTTGGGGCCTGGGGGTTTGGGGAGTTTGGGGCAGTTTGGGGTGGGGGTTGAGCCGACGGCCCATTTGGACCACAGTTTCTGGCTTTGTCGCATAATTCGAAAAGAAGAAGAGCAAGTCGCGGCGACAGCTATCGTACTTGTTGGTAGGTTTAGGTTTGGTTTGGTGTGTGTGTTTCCCCATGTGCTTTCGGACCTCAGGGCAGTAGGATCGGTAGGCGTTCGGCCACGAAACCGCTACTTCAAGAGTTAAGGCTCATCGGCCCCCAAACCCTACATCCAGCCGTAAACTACAGTTTCACCCCTATTCCAAAAGTTAAGGCCAATCGGTGTTGAGCTTAACTGCCCGAACCCTGGGCCGCGAAATTTACCAATAAGGACTATACAATAATTCCATATAATTCCCATAGTTTATGGTCCTTCAGGTAATGCAGGATTTATATCATCAACCGTACTAGAGGGGCCTTAATAGTTAGACCAGGGGCTCCTCTTGATCTATAGTAGGGTTCTATAATATAGGGGCCTTACTAATTAGAATAGGGAACCGTCGGGTGCTACCGGATTTTCTTCGGGCGTTGCGGGCTCTCGGCTCCTCAAAGGTATCTATGGGGTTCCTTAAAGGGATCTATAGGGAATAAAGTTTAGGGTCTACTTGGAGGATCATGGGACTTAGTAAGTAAGGCTATAAGTGTCTTAATTGGGGTAAAACGTAGTTATAAGTGTAGTTACCTTATTTATAACACCACTTACTAAGCCAAATGATCCTCCCAGTAGGGCACTGGGTCGTTAATGTGTCGGTTGTTTGCGGTGTCGATTGCTTGGGAATCGCCTTTAGGATTTGGGGGGCCTTTCGGGGTTTTTGGGGAATCTTAGAGTTGTCAGGGTTTCATTAATGTGGCATCGGTTAGAAGCTGCCCCCACCCTGTAATAGTGACCATAAGGATTATATAGGACTATATTAGGGCCCTATTATATTCCTATCATACCACTATTACAGGGTGGGGGCAGCTCCTAAGGCATCGGCTTTTGTTGGGGTGTTGGCTGTTTAGTTGTTCTTCGGGTTGGCGCTTGACGGTGCTTACGGGCTCCAGGGTGCAGGGTTTCAGGCTTTGTTGGTGCAATCAAGGTTTTCCCAAAGGGTCCTATGTACCGATATAGTAGAATGCAGGGTTTCCATATTAGGAATTACTATTATGACTTAGGGATGTATTCCCCATAACAGTACATAGGACCCTTTGGTTTTGTAAGAGCTTCGAGGGGTGTTTAAGTTCTCAAGGGATTGGTTTCATAGAGGTTGAACCAAGGTTTATATGGGTGTATCACTCTTTCTAATGATTTTTTGCGTGAGTTTCATATTTGGGTTTCGCCTGGGTTAATACAAGATTCGACAGGTTTTCGGGCATATTACAAGGGTTTCATAATCATATATCCGTTGTAAACATAGCATACGGCCGAATCAACGTGGTAACACACTTCATGGTAGGATGCCTTTTGCCTCGGTATACTTATACTCTCCGCCTGATTGTCCCTACACATTTAAACTGCTATATCACCTACAGTATTCCCCGTGACATTTAGTAAAACCTGCTCGAATTGTCAAGCCCCCTATACAATCACACTGTAATCGCACCTAAGACCTACTCGTTTTGTTAAAGCCCCCGCTATCATACCGTCAAAGACTCATCTACTTGTTAACGCCACTATACCAAAGAACCCTAAACCCTAAACCCCTATACCAAAGCTTCACGGCCAGGACGGCGAGGCTGTCGCCGAAGGGCTGGTCGAGCTAGGACCATGAGTCCGAACAGTCTAAAGATGAACAGAATTTTAGGGTTTAGTGTTTAGGGTTTAGCGACTATACCCCCTTAGAACCAGAATAAGACTAACATTTTGACTATTCCCTTGAGTTTTATATGAACAAAAATAAAAGTGTGCCCCAAACCCTAAACCCCAAACCCTAAACCGTCCTTGAGCTTATTTGTTTTGTAGCACCTTTTTCCGTCTGCAAAATCTGTCTCTGCCTACGGAAGACCTTTTGGTCAGGCGACTTGAGCTTTATGGGCTTGCAGTAAAAGCCAGAAAGTTGGAATATGATTATCCTAAGCCCTTTATGGTACATTATAGGGTATCCTACCCTGAAACCATATTCCAACTTTCTGGAGTTTCCTATAGAGTTTGAGCTAAGTCAGGCTTACGGCATAGGTTCTAGGGTTTGGGGATTTAGATGAGTCCTATTTGCTAGGTAATTACTTCGGACCCGTAGGATTCTGATGTATTACAGGCACCTTGATAATTAGAAAAGGGGCTTGGCGGTATATGGCAGTTCAACTTTAGAAAGCATCGCCAAGGAATACCACTATACACTAATTGTTGAAACACCTGCGTTACTTAGTTGCTGTGTTCGCGACCGTAAAAAATGTACACCTTCAGCTGTACCAGGGATAAGAATATCCCAAGAAGTCTAAACGTGTACTCACTCAGCTACTAAGACATACAGACTGCATCATGCTTGCTCCCTGAGGCCACGGCTTCAAATCATCGTCAAGTTCCATGTCGCCACTGGGGTCCTACCCAGAGCATGCATGCCATGTAAAGGGTTGAAAAAGGGTCCAGTTAGGCTGGAGTTCTCAGGTGCTTAAAGGATCATGGGACTTAGTAAGTGGGGTTTTAGATAGGGTAACTATACTTATAAATATTTACAACCCCAATTAGGGCACTTATAACCCTACTTACCAAGTCCCATGATCCTCCAAGTGGTCAGCAACTGCCAGGGTGAAACGTTGGATCCGATACGTCGGCACAGCAACGAGGGATTCCGTGTTAGCGAGTGCCAGCCCTGTTCACCACCTCAATAATGTTGGGATGATGAGGAGAAACCCTAAGCCCCAAATCCCAAGCTTACGCATTGGGGCTTATGAAACCCCCGGTGCCCTTAACCAGGATCCCCGGCAAGTCCTACATGATCACAGTGCCTCTGTGCTCATAGCAAGTCCTTCGAGGGAGACACCCCCTCAGACCGGCTATAAGGGCACGACTGTGGGAACCTCGAAAAAAGCGGCGCTAGTCATTGGAATACAGCTTTTGGGCTTATTTCGGTATAGTTGTTAAAAGGAAAACGAGAAAGAATAGTACTGCTCATTATTGCGACCTCTATCCGTAAACCCTGAACCCTAAACTTCGTGGTAAAGCCCCGAGCCAACCCTAAACCCTAAACCGTGACCGAGCCGCGCCAGTCCTCGACTGTGAACTTTACGAGGCCTGAGTTTGTTGAACTCCCAGGAACGTCGAAGAAGGACTTCATCGTCTCTGGCCTGTTCTTTGATGCTCTGCTTGGGGGAGAGCTTGGAAGCCCTTTTGACTTAGTAAGTAGGGTTAGTAAGGTGGGTTATGGGGATTAGAATAAGGTTTCTAGGGGATACTAAGTAGTAACCCCTAAGCCCTAAACCCTACAGATCCCTTTAAGGAACCCCTATAGATCCCTTTTAGGACCCCTTTAAAGGAACCCCTACTTACTAAGTCAAAAGGGCCTCCAAGAGGAGGGGGGAGACTTTCAGGAGGACCTGGAAAGTCGAACCCCTTGCTTGAAAACCTATAATTGCTATACTTACAGGGTGCTTTTTAGGAACCTCCTTATAATACTCTTAATACTCTTAATGCTATTAACACTATGAATTCTATTAATACTACTAATACTATACTACTACAATACAACTTATAAGGGAGAACCCTTAGAGGAACCCTTAAGGGATCTACTGCATCCTCCCGGGGGGTCTTGGGCTGTAGGATCTTCCAGGTTCTGGGGAGCTGTTTTGTTGAGGGTTTAGGGTTTAGGGGTTTGGTTGAAAACCCTGTATACTTGGAGGATCATGGGACTTGGTAAGTAGGGTGCCTTAAAAGGGCTCCTTAAAGGGATCTATAGGGGTTCCTTGAAGGGATCTAGGCTTTAGGGTTTTGGTTCTACTTGGAGGATCATGGGACTTAGTAAGTGAGGCTATGCACAAGGTAACTACGATCACAAATACTTATAACCCCAATTACGGTACCTATAACCTTACATACATGACGGCTACTGGCGTTTAGGGCTTGTTCCTTGAAACTTGTGTCTTCAGGTTTAGAGTTCCTAGCAGCGGAGCAAACGTCAGACGGATGTGGCCACGATCACCGTTTTGACTCGGGCAAACCGGTTCAACATGTAGTTGTGACCAAGAAACGAACCCAACCTTGAACCACACGCATGCCAAAAGTATCGCGTGCTGACGAGGACCACCTGTTGCGAAACCGCCCTGGACCTTTGATATAGAAGCATGCTGTTTATAGGGGGGCCTAGGGCATAAACCTTGGTCTTTATTCTGGTTTCTACATCATGGATTAATTCCGGGGTTTTGGGCTCGCTGGGTAGGCCTTCAGATGAGTCAAACCCCAAGCAACAAGCCTCGATGCCACTGAGAGAAAAGCTCTAGGAGACCCATGGTAGGTTTTAGGGCCTACTCGAAGGATCATGGGATATTAAGTCCCGTGATCCTCCAAAGTAGACCCTAAACCCTATTCCCTATAGATCCCGTTTCAGGAACCCCATTACTTATTATATAAAGACACCATAATAAGGAACCCTAAAAAAAGGCAGGTTCTTCAGGGTTAAGGTAAACCCCTAAACCCTAAACCCTATAGATCCCTTTTAAGGAACCCTACAGATCCCTTTAAGGAGCCCTTTAAGGGCCCTTACTAAGTCCTATGATCCTTGCAGGGTCAAGGTAGGGATTAGTTTGGCGTTTTAATTGAGCACGGCCCGGCACAGTGATACCAAAGAGGACTGTGTAGCCCCCTGTAGACATGGGAGTTTCCGGGATTCTACTATTTGGGATTCCTTAAAGAGATTTGTAAAGATTCTGTAAAGGGTTTAGGGTTTAGAGTTTCCGAAAATTGGGGGTACCTTACTTTGGGGTCCTTGTAATAAGGTTCCTACAATTTAGGGGTACCATATTAGGGTCCCCTATTTTCGGAAGCTCCCCCATGGCCTTCCAAACCCGCAACTTGGATGATTCTGAGTACCGCGAATTCCGGGAGGTTCTAGAAAGTAGAACCCAGAATCTGGGAACATAAACTACCAAAGGGTACTTTATGGGAACCTAGGGGATCTACTCTTTCGATCCTCCCAAAAGCCGGTAGATGAGGACTGAACACATGAGAGCCCAGCACCCGTCAGGGAATCATCGGATCCACTGGTTCGCTCTGACTGTTCCAGCTACCAGCCCGTTGGTAGTAGGGGAGGTATGGCCTGAGAGCCGCTTCCTTGTGCCGGAAGGGTCTGACCAACGTTTGCTCATGAGTGCGGATGGCTCTGTACAGAGGGCGCATGCCCTTGACCACTGCACCCTCTAGCCATTCCTGGTACTTCTTCTTTATCCTGAGCCACGTGGTCACTCTGGGCCTTGCTGCTCCTGTCGGTGCCACAGATCAGAAGAAAATCCAGTCCTCCAAGCGAAGATGTGCATCATCCACCGCGGCTTTTGCCGGTGGACGCCTCGGCATCAACGACGGGAGCAACGGAAGGCTCCTGCTGTCCACGGAAGAACTCCTCCTTTCCTTTGCTGAGGGGGCTGGCCCCGGCAATCCCCTGATTCATCATCTTATAGCAGCCCCCTACAACGTCAGGTACATCCCGTAATTAAGGATATACCTCGAATCGTACCAGTATGTCTATTCCCCCTGCAATTACAAGGCACGTCATTTCAGAAAGGGGTGTTGGGGCTTTCACGGTTGCTCAAAATGCAGCACACCATTTGAGAAGAATATTTGGGTTTAGGGCTTAGGAACCCCAGCAAGAAAGTTCAGGATAGGGTTTAGTAACCCCACGAAAGAGAAGGGGGATCCGCATCCCGTCCAAATAACATGGCCGTGTAAGGGTACCACTGAAGAACTTGAAATGGCCGCCGCATTTCTTACGAAGCGCCAGGTTTCAATCAAAGATGGCCTCCATTCGAAATCCGTAACGTAGTTGACGCAGCCGGTGCCGTCCAGCTCGGACAGCTGGCAGCAGGGGTAAGATCGAAATACCGACGGTGGGTCTACCCTAGAAAGTAGAACATGGTTCTGTGAGAGTTCTATATACCATAAACCCTATTAAAAGGATCATTGGATTAGTAAGTGGGGACATAATTAAGGTAACTATACTTATAATAACTACTTATAACCCCAATTAAGGCACTTATAACCTGACCCATGATCCTCCAAGTAGGCCCTAAAACCCGAAAGGGTCTAAGCTCAGGTCCTCTAGCACCCTAAACCCTAAACCCTAAACCCTAAACCCTAAACTCTAAACCCTAAACCCTAAACCCTAAACTCTAAACCGTTTGGGGTTCCCAAGTCTAGGACTTCTGAAACTGGCAGGCTCTGGAACCTCCAAATGGGTGGTTGTCAAAATTAGGGTCCCTGTTTGGGTACCCTAAATATTAGGTGCCGTATTATAATAAGGACCCAAAAAGGGAGCCTAATTTTGACAACTTCCCAAATAAAGGTGATACCTTGAAGCCTCTTAGTACTTGGAGGATCATGGGACTTAGTAAGTAAGGTTATAAGTGCCTTAATTGGGGTTACAAGTAGTTATAAGTATAGAGTTACCTTATCTATATCCCCACTTACTAAGTCCCATGATCCTTCCAGTAGACCCTAAACCCTAAACCCTATAGATCCCTTTTAAGGAACCCCTATAGACCCCTTTAAGGAGCCCTTTAAGGGAACCCTCACTGAGCCCCATGATCCATTAGTAGGGCTTCAGGTCTCCAGTCTCGGGTCATAAGGAAAACTTCGTGCTGGCTACTTGGAGGCCCTTTTGACTTAGTAAGTAGGGTTAGTAAGGTGGGTTATGGGGATTATAATAGGGTTTCTAGGGAATACTAAGTAGGCTTACTAAGTCAAAAGGGCCTCCAAGTAGTTGTAAGGATCGAGAAGACGAGCCCGTTAAATGGGAAGCATCCCAGTCGAGTAAGGCTTCGATAGCATCTTGCCCGAAAGGAGCTGCTGCACTGTCCGTGTCGCTGCGAACATGACACTGTTCAAGACAGTGGGCAAGGCCTGGGCAGAGTAGGTCTCGTTGCCAACGGACTGCTTGCTAGAAGAAGAGACATCCAGGCAGATCGTCTTCACTTGATCAACTCTCAATCTGGGAAAAGGAGGACCCTTAATGGGGAACCCTACCCTATAATGGGCTATATAATGGGTATATAGTAGCTATATCAAGGGTATATACCTAGGGGTCCTTATTAAGGGTCCCTCCTCTTACCCTTGGAAACTCTTGAATCGAGACAAGGGGTAACTCTAAAACGCCCACAATCCCCTCACTCCAGGGCGCCTCCAGCCACATGACGCCTGCGGCCTCAACATCATCGGCTGAGTCGAAGCACATGGGCTTTCCGAAGAGGTGCTCGACACCTCGCGAAACCCTAATCCCTAAGCCCTACTTAGAGGACCATGGGACTTAGTAAGTGTGGTTGTAAATGAGGTTGCTATACTTAAAAGTACTTATAACCCCAATTAAGGCCCTTATAACCTTACTCAGTAAGTCCCATGATCCTCCAAGTAGTTTAAGGTTTAGGGGTTGCGCTTGGCCCATTACTTCAATAGTCTTATCTCTACTCTCTACTCCCGTTACAACGTAAGCAACAAGCAGTTTTCGAAGTCACACCAAAAGCCCCATACATAAAGTTAGTATCTGTATCAAGAACAGGTACCCTAGGTCCTACTTGTCGGGTATCATGGGGAACTAAAGGCTAACCTTTTTGGTTATATAGGGATTTTATAGGGACTATACTACCCAAAAAGGTTAAAGGTTGCCTACTCTACGACTAGGATGTAACATCGAAAGACGATGTACGCAGCCAGGAAAAGGTGCATAGTTCTACAAGCTGGATTCAGATTGGAGCTTCTTCAGGTAAGCCAGGGTTCAGGGTGTAGGGTTTAGGTTTAGGGTTTAAGGTTTAGGGGTTCAGGGTTAGGTGTTTAAGGTTAAAGGCCGGACTTGAATCATACACCCCTAGGTTACTAGACCCTGAGACTACAATGTAGACAGTTGGTTGCCAAGCCCAGTGCTTCTACACCCAAGTTTAACCTAGGAGCAAAACTTGGGCGCCCTTTCTGGTTTAAAGGGATTAAAAGGGAACCAGAACCCTCAAAAAGGGACTAAGGGACTACTCTAGGTCCTACCTTAAACCCAAATAACCTACCTTTTTAGGGACTTCTATAAAGAAATCATACTAGAAAGCCCTCAAAAGGTAGGCTATTTGTGGACCCCAAATAGCCTTTGATTGACACAACGACTGAGCAGTAGACCGACCCCAAACTGCCACTAAACCCGCCTAAATACTCACCTATACTGTTTTCGGGGGGGTCCTATTATTCTAAATGTAGTAGCCACAGTATAATGGGCTCCAAGACCCTATTCTGATTAAACCCTAAACCCTAAACTCTAAACCCTAAACCCTAAACTCTAAACTCTAAACCCTAAACCCTAAACTCTAAACCCTAAACCCTACACCCTTTATTAAGTACTTATAAGTCTACTTACTACCTACTTACTAAGTCCCCCGACCCTCCAAGTAGGAACCTGATTAAGGAACCCTGGGCCTATAACCCCTAAAATAGTAGGGTTCATATACGGAACCATAAAAAAAACCAACGTTATCTACCCCCCCCCCCCCCCCCCATAATTTGAAACCCTGCATCCTGAACTTGTCAGATTCAGGGCTGATCTATAGTCTCCATTGTAGTTCCATTTTTGCCCCGTTCACTATCTAGGATACCCAGTAACCTAAGAATAAAAAGGCCTCTCTTTTTGGTATTGGGTAACTTTATAAGGAACCTAGGACTACAAAAAGGGAATAAGGGTACTACTGGGCATCCTAGCTATCTAAGAAACAATCCAACACCTGGAGCAGCTTCAAAAACCTTAGACAACATCAACACCTCGAACGGCCCTAGCATCCGAGGCACTGGAGGGCATGGCGAGCACAAGGTTGGCTTTCTTCCAGGCCTGTGCACGAGGGCCCCCCGCCCCCTCCACAAAGAAAAAAAAAAGGATCTCACACTAACTTAAAACTCCGAGCCCCTGAACCCCAAACTCCACATCAATCGCCAGGCCCGTAAACTCCACGCTGCTCTGGAAATCTCAAACACTCGAACACATTGAGCCCATCAGAGACCGCGCCCTCAGAACCAACCAAATAATGTGCTTAATCCTCACACTTGGAGTTTTACTATGAAGAAAATATGCTTAACACTCTCTTGGAGTTGTATTGTGATCGCAGCTAGGAAAAAACGACTCGTAGGAACTCTGACGAAGAAAAACCAGGGCTAATTCTGGGAACCCGGCTGTCGCATACTGCCGCACACTGCGCATCCTTGGTGGGACCATGGCCCTTGAGGGTTGAGGGCATTGGGGGTGGGGGGGGGCGGGTGTAGGGTTTAGTTTTTGGGTCTTAGCTTCTTGTGAGGGGGTACCCTGTTTCCGACGGCTTGGTTTTAATAAGTGGACAGCGGGCCCTAATCTAAAAAGGGCGCAAGGGGTACTACTCAGGAACCCAGTTAGACTCTAAACCCCCATAGATCCCTTATAGAGCCCTTCAAAAGGAGCGCTGTAAGACACTTTGCGGAACCCTTTCAGGAACCCATTTAGCAAGTCACAGAAGTTTGGGACAAACAGATTTCGGGCTGATCTTGAGCCGACCCGCAACGCCGCCCCAAAGCCTGAAACCTAAAGCCCAATCCTAAGTAAGCCAGGTCCGTGGTAGTTAAGTGCAGGGTAATATAGAGGCCTTTGTACTTGTAATAGAGAGTTCAGGGGTGACTTTCAGTAATTATACTTCTATCGGGACTTTAAGGGAATAAGTTCAAAACTATTTCATCCGACCACCTAACCCTAAGCCATAGAGCCTACAGTAAAAGCCAGACAGTTGGAACATCATTATCCTCATGTCCTTAAGGTAAAGTGCAAGGGATCCTAGCACTAATCCTCCCAAATCAATGTTCCAACTTTGTGGTTTCTACTATACTTTGCAAGGAGCTGACTCAAATCCCACCAACAGACGCCCCGGCATGTTGAGTGTCTCACATAGTATAGGGTCCCAGTTTTTTGGGGTCCCTATAGTATAGACTTCCATCGACGGTTCGTTTAGCGGGGCCGTGTCTGGTTTCTATCATGTGGGGGGGTCTTCGTACTGAGAACTATATGGGAGTTTCCGAACATAGGGGACCCTAATGTAGTACCCTATATACTAGTAGGATCCTGATTAAGGACCCCCCCCCCCAAAAAAAAAAAGGTAACCCTAATTTTCGGAAACTCTAAACCCTAAACCCCTTATAGAAGCCTTATAGATCCCTCTTAGGAACCCTTCAAGGATCCTTTTAGAGATACCCCTCATTTTCGGAAACTCCCACATTTTCGCGTATATTCCACTCGGTACTGAGGAGCCTCAAAGGAGTAGTGACTGGTTTAGGGATTAGAGTTTAGGGATTAGAGTTTAGGACTTTAGGGGTTTAGGGTTTAGGGCTTTAGGTTTAGGGTCCAGGGTTTAGGGATTGGGGTTTAATTAGGGTTTAGGGTTTAGGGATCGGGGTTTAGGGTTTAGAGCCCGCAGGTTGGACTATGTCAGGCTCTGAGAGTTCAAAGCCTAGTTGGCCCATAAACCGATTTACAAACCACGCTGCAGTCTCTCATTCCTCAGACCTGAACAACCAAACCCAACCTGAATCCTAAGCCCTAAACCCTCAGCCCTAAGCCCCAAACAAAAAACTACAGAAACATGAACAAGTTCGGACTTAAAAGCGACGACTGAAATACTAAAACCTAGAGTTCTCCCACTAACTCATCAGCGCACCATCCCGGACCCTTTAAAGTATCTGAACAACCCCCCCAACAACAACAACGACAACAACAAGTCTCCCACCACTATATGGCTTGAAGCAAAGCTCGTTTGTCAGTGGTTCCTTCGGTTGATGATATAAATCCTGCATTACCTTAAGGACCCTAAACTATGGGAATTGTGGTATATTCCTTATTATGGGTTATGCAGGATTTATATCATCAACCGTTCCATTTAGATCCTGTAGGGGGTGTCGACCCTTGAGCGTACATTTTTTTACTACTTCTGGCTAGCTGAGAACAAGGCGGCAGTAGTCCATGAAGCCACAGTTGGCCTGCAGCATGGTGAGTTGCTGTGAAGGAACTTAAATAAGTTACTACAGTAAGGAATCCCTATTCTTTACTGTATATCCCCAATATGGTAACTTAAGTTAAGTTTCCGCGCTCAGTTTCCAAAACTCTGAGCCGGGTCTTGACCTCAGACTACACACCCGTCACACGACACGCAGACACACACAGACACATGGATAGTTGTCCAAATTATGGTCCCTGTGTAAGCACCCCCACTCCCCCTCCCCGTCCCCCCCCTCCAAAAAAGTACGGCAAGCTTATAAAAAGGACACAATAAGGGACCCAATTTTAGAGAACTGTTGAAACACAAACAGCGGCATCATCAACTTCATGTGGGTGGTTATCAAAATTATGGTACCTTTTTGGGTACCCTAAATAATAGGTGCCGTATTATGTTAAGGACCCAAAAAGGGACCTGAATTTTGACAACCACCTATGTGCAAGAGCCGGGCCGCCTTCCATGCTGTGCAGACCTTTCGGTGCCTCAGCGACATGCTCTGAATAAAGAGTTATACCCGCGAAAAGTTGTGGTAGTAGTAGTAGTAGTAGTAGTAGTAGTAGTAGGAGTAGGAGTAAGTAGTGGTAGCGATAGCAGTAGCAGTAGCAGTAGCAGTAGCAGTAGCAGTAGCAGTAGCAGTAGGAGTAGGAGTAGTAGTAGTAGTAGTAGTAGTAGTAGTAGTAGTAGTAGTAGTAGTAGTAGTAGTAGTAGTAGTAGTAGTAGTAGTGTATTAGTGTAGTAGTAGTCGTCGTCGTGGTGGTGGTGGTGGTGGCGGTGGTGGTGGTAGTAGAAGCTGTGGAAATAACGGGTAGTAGCAGAAGCAGCAGGAGCAGGAGCAGGAGCAGGAGCAGGAGCAGCAGGAGCAGGAGCAGCAGGAGCAGGAGCAGGAGCAGGAGCAGGAGCAGGAGCCGGAGCGGTAGCGGTAGCAGTAGCAGTAGCAGTAGCAGCAGCAGCAGTGGTAGCGGATAGAGAAGCTTGCGTAAGCAGACCTGATTTTCGATGAAGGGGGGAGTCTACTATACTTCGATCTGTGAGGGAAACGTATGGAATAGCAGAGCTGATTAGATAAACCCTAAACCCCTAAACCCCAAACCCCAAACCCCTAAACCCTAAACCAGGCTCCTGTGAACCCTAAGCCGAGACGTCTTCTTAATTCGCAGCGGTTGGGCCTTGTGCAGGTGCTCGCCTTGCATCGAAATTCGAGGTGAAACGAATTTAGGGTTTAGGGATTTAGGGTTTAGGGGTTTAGGGTTTAGAGGTTTAGGGTGTAGGGATTTAGGGTTTAGGGGTTTAGGGTTCACGAAGCGAAAGTTCCAACGGCAGACACCTGAAAACTGGCAGTACATCCTTTCAGCTAGGATGCCCAGTAAAAAGGGCTCCCTTTTTGGGTATTGGGTAACTGTATAAGGAACCTAGGACTACAAAAAGGGAAAAAGGGCCCGAGGCCTAGTGTCAGCAGTATTTCCATGGCCCAGGAATATCTCTTCTTCCATAACCAGGCCCAAAAACTTTCAAACTTTCTCAGATGGACCCGATACATACGGCCAACAAGTTCAAGTTTCTCTCATTGTTTTGTCTGAGAGAACCTAAACCCCAAAACCCCTATAAACCCTATGCTCGAAACCCTAAACCTAAAGCCTTAAACCCCAAACCCCAGCGCCCTAAAACCCCTAAACCCTAACCCCTAAACCCTCAAATCCTCTACCCTGAACCGTTTCCGTGGCTGAGGAATCGACCGCCGGTGGCAGATCAGCGCAGGCGGCTTGGAATGCGCGATGCGCCTGGGCGGCGTGTAAACCGGACTTCGGAAGCTGACTTTATGGGATCCTTTAAGGGATCCCCAGAGAGCCCAATACCCCTTAATTAAGGATTATACCTTAAATAAAAATAGGATCCCTAATCTGATTTAAGGTATGGGATCCTTTAAAGTTTAAAGAGATCCTTTACTCCCAGACCTTCCAAAATCCCTTAATTAAGGAATATATCTTAATTCATATTAGGGGTCCTATTATAATTTAAAGGGAACTCCAGAATATTGGAATATGGTTTCAGGGTAGGATACCTTATAATTTACCATAAGAGGTTTAGGATAATAATATTCCAACTTTCTGGCTTTTACTTTAAGGGATCCTTTACTTAAAGGATCATGGGACTTAGTAAGTAAGGGTTCCTTAAAAGGGCTCCTTAAAGGGATCTGTGGGGGTTCCTTCAAGAGAACTATAGGGTTGAGGGTTTAGGGTCTACTTGGAGGATCATGAGACTTAGTAAGTAAGTGTCGAGGTACCTTAATTGGGATTATAAGTACTTATAAGTATAGCTAGATTATTTATAACTCCACTTACTACGTCCCATGATCCTTTAAGTAAGGGGATCCTCTAAGGAACCCTTTTAAAAGCCGTTCCTTTAACGGGATTTGTGCCGTACCTTCTTGCTAGGTAGCTTGGTTGTATACTTTCTACAACTCTTTTCTTCAATAACGGGGGCCTGAAAAGTTCAAACTTTGTACGGTATTTGGCAATCTAGGACAAACGGCTTCAAAAGGATAAGTATAGGTAAAGGCGACGGGTAGCGGGCTATGGGAGAACCGCGCAACCACATCCCTTCAACCGTAACACCTTTTGAAGAGAACAACTGTCTTCTTCCACCGCTTGAAGCTGTAGTCATACCGGAAGTTCTGGGGCGTTGCGCCTCCACGAGGTCGCCACCAGAACCTCACGTTGTGCAACAGCGTGCGCTCATTGCCACCACCACGGCCAATAGGTCCACGGGTGCCACGTCATGTGCACTGGATTCACCTCCCTACTCTGCCGGCTCAAAGATCTCGCCCTTGAGCGCAGAAGCTCAACATAAAGCCGGACCTCTCCGCAGACCTCATAATGGCCTCTCCCATAGGGCCTCAGTTAGGATTAGAAACCCTATACACCCTTATGCTGAACCCTAGAACTTCCACACCCCTAACCGAAATCATAAATCCTGAAACCTATACTCTTATACATCCTGAACCTTACCCCTAACCCCTAAATCCTGAAGGTCCTAAACCCCAAACCCCAGACCTTACTTGGAGGCCCTCTTGACTTAGTAAGTAGGGTTAGTAAGCTGGGTTATAGGGATTATAATAGGGTTTCTAGGGGATACTAACCCTAAACCCTAAACCCAAAACCCCAAAACCCCAAACCCTAAACCCTAAACCCCAAAACCCTAAACCCACTAAGTCAACAGGGCCTCCAAGTAAGAGCCCCTGCCCCGAGGCCCCTACATCCTGAAGCCTACAGGCCCTACTAGAGCCTTTGAAGCCCGCGACCCTGAACCCTACTTAAAGGATCATGGGACTTAGTAAGTAAGGGTTCCTTAAAAGGGCTCCTTAAAGGGATCTGTGGGGGTTCCTTAAAGGGATCTATAGGGCTTAGGGTTTAGGGTCTACTTGGAGGATCATGGGACTTAGTAAGTGGGGTTATAAGTACCTTGACTGGGGTCATAAGTAGTTATAGGTATAGTTACCCTAATTATAACCCCACTTACTAAGTCCCATGACCCTTTAAATAGATCTTTTACGAGGATGCCCAGTAACCTAGGAATGAAAAGGGCTCCCTTTTCGCCATTGGGTAACTATATAAGGAATCTAGGACTACAAAACGGGAAGAAGGGTACTGCCGGGCATCCTAGATTACATACCCGATGCTAGTAGAGCCTCAAAGCTCCAAAAGACTCGCAACACTACTTGGAGGCCCTTTTGACTTAGTAAGTCGGGTTAGTAAGGTGGGTTATGGGGATTATAATAGGGTTTCTGGGGGATACTAAGTAGACTTACTAAGTCGAAAGGGCCTCCAAGTAAATCCCATACGTCAAACTCCCTCAAAGCCTTTTGTTTGGATTTTGGAACCCCTAACCGCTAACCCGTATAGACCCCTTGAAAGGAAGCTTAAAAGCCACCCAATAAAAGAAGAAAATCCTAAATCCCTAAACAAGCCCTCATAGGGGCTACTACCTCCTTATCGTACCCTCAACACTACCCGGTATAGGGTGCCCCTTAACGGATCCTTTGAAGGAGCCCTCAACAGACCCTTGAAGGAAGCCTTAAAGGAACCCTCAAAAGAAGCCTCAAAGGAACTCTTGAAGGAGACCCTTAAAGTAATCCTAAAGGGATCCCCTCATAGTATAAGGGATCCCTTTCAGGGATCCCCTAAGGGGTCCCTCTCTTTTTCCAGGATCCCTTTAAAAGGGATCCGTTTAAACTGGATTCCTTTAAAGGATCCCTTTGAAAGGGATCCCTTTAGGGGATCCCCTTTTAAAGAGCCCTTGAACCGGAAGTTTGGCGAGGCCTCCGGAGCGAAGACGCCGTCAAAGCACGGGGCAGAGGCCCGCGACACCCGCAGTACGTCCGGCGTCCACAGGCCTCGAATAGGGTTTAGGGTTTAGGGTTTAGGGTCTATAAGGGATACTATAAGGGATCCATAAGGGTACGTACATCCGGCGTCCACAGGCCTTGTAGTTCTTGGAATAGGATGCCTTTAAGGGGTCTGTTAATAAGGGATACAATCAGGGATCCATAAGGTCACACACACACACACACACTCTATATATAATATATATATATGTATATGTATATGTATATGTATATATATATATATGTGTGTGTATATATATATATATCTGGCGTCCACAGGCCTCGTAGCAGGGTAATAAAGGGGACTTAATTCTTAGAATAGGGTTCCTTTAAGGGGTCCATAAGGGATACTACGAGGAATCTATAAGGGTACTATAATGCAGGTGCCTTAATAATTAGAATAGGGTTTTGGGCCAAAGTGATTATACTATGCTTATCATAAGGAACCCCCACAATAGTCTTGGTAATTATTTGAGACCCTATAGTAGGGCCGGTAGGGTTACTACTATTTGCTTAAGAAACCCCCAAAAATTAAAAACAATAATCCCTATATTACACCCATAAGGAATATTCTTTTTATTTTTGGGGGGCTCTTAAGCAAATAGTAGGTTAAGGGGAGCTTAGTGGTTCATAGACATTGTCAAGGGCTTGGGCGCGCTAGTGTTGACCGAGTTTTTGGTTTTGGAACCTGATTTCGGATCTGTGGGGGCTGGGGCTGGGGCACGGAGGGTTGGGCTACTGGCGGGTGCGGGTCGACTCGATTCCTTTAGGGGCCTGAATAGTGCTTTTAGGCCCATTGAACTGTAAAGTATAATCAGGAACACCCCAAAAATAGTATAGGTAATTTGTTCGGCCCCTACCCTACACCCTGAACCGTCCTATACTATGTTGTTCCGGATGCCCGACAATTTGATTCTACCGATCTCAGACTCCGGTCCCGCCGTTCCTGCGAGCCCCTCCCCGAACCCAGAGACTCCAATATCCGACTGTTCCTTAAATATTAAGGATCCTACTATATAACTTAAGGTATATTCCTACCATATTAGGGATCCTACTATAGAACTTCAGGTATATTCCTTAATGAAAAGGGTTTGGGAGTCTGTGGGAACCTGGGCTGCGCTGCTTGCGCTGAGGTGGGCTGAACTTGGAGGCCCTTTTGACTTAGTAAGGTTAGGGGTTCCTTTAAAGGAATCCTAAAAGGGATCTATAGGGGTTCCTTAAAGGGATCTATAGGGTTTAGGGTTTAGGGTATCTTACTTGGAGGCCCTTTTGACTTAGTAAGTAGGGTTAGTAAGGTGGGTTATGGGGATTATAATGGGGTTTCTAGGGGATGCTAAGTAGTAACCCCTAAGCCCTAAACCCTATAGATCCCTTTAAGGAACCCCTATAGATCCCTTTTAGGACCCATTTAAAGGAACCCCTACTTACTAAGTCGAAAGGGCCTCCAAGTACAGTCGAAGCCCAGAAGTTGGAAACCCCAATAGCCTCAATCCTTAACAGTAGTGTGTAGGGAATCCCAGCACTGTTTGGCCTTCATCCGGTTTCCAACTTTATGGGGTTTATTGTACTCCCCCAAATAAGCCACAAACATACAAGGTTCAACTTTCCGGTTCCTACTAAACCATAAGAACCAATAAAAAGTTTAAAGGTTGGGTATTGCGGATCTAAGACAAGCAATTTCGATTTATTTCTTTCTTGAGGGTTTAAGGGTTAGGGTTCATGGTAGATGGTACAAGGGGCGAGGAGACTTTTATAAGGGCTGCCAAACTGTTCAGAGCTTAGGCTTTGGGGGTTGCCTCGGAGAGTTCTGTTCAGGGCTTGACAAAAGCGAGGGTCGGCAATAACCGCTCTAAAACGGTCTTCAAGTGTTCGGCAAAAGTGCAGCAGAGGGATCTACAACGGTTCAGCGAAAACGGATCCACAAGCCCTAAACCCTAAACCCTAAACCCCCCTGCGGGTTCACTTTCAGGGGTGGTTTTGTATTGGTTTTTTCGGGGTTCGGTGTTTTTTCGTACTGGGAAAGAACTTTATGGGCAGGGGTTTGGGATAGCATGTATCGTGACCTTGTTTCGTGTGTAGTGATAATTGGTTGTTCTGGGGATTGCTATTACTGAGTTGTATGTAATGCACGTGGTGTGTAATGATGATGGTGATGGTGGTGCCGGCAATGATGATGACGATGCTGATGGTGATGATGGTGATGATGATGATGATGGTGATGATGATGATGATGGTGATGCCGGCAGTGATGATGACGATGCTGATGTAATGCAGTTGTTTGGAGTTCAAGCTGTAGAACAACATGCCAAACCCTTGGCTGTGCGTGGCAATGGCCGTGAGTCGGGGTTCCCATGTTTCTTCGTTGTTCTATTTCCTGTCAGTAGCACGCTTGCACAGGGAACTTCGCAGCTTCATTGGTGTTCGCTTGAACAGAACGTCATTACCCCCCCCCCCCCCCCCCCCCCCACCCCCCCAACCCCCCCCCCAAAGAGCAAGCAGGGCACATGACCGAAAACAACAACGACGCAAAAAACACAGAAAACGCAAAGCGGCAGACATCCCAAAAACATGCCTGCAGAAGTTAGGAATACAGCACGCAGGCCACGTTTTTCGATGTTCGGACGAATTCGTAACCGAAAATGTACTACCAAAAACGACGTCGTTTCTGGTGCAAAACAACAAACACAGCGCGAATCAGACAAAACACTCGGCTACCAAGAGCGGAACACATGTAACAAGGCGAAAACCTCGCGCTGGGCGGTGTTTTCCATGTGCCGGAAGGGCCGTGCGAAGGAGAAGGGCATACAAAGGCACACAAACAACAGGAAAAAGCACCCCTGAAAGTGAACCCGCTAGGCTAAACCCTAAACCCTAAACCCTATGAGGGTTCGAAGGGGTTCGAAAAGGAGTCCGCGATGGGTAGCATCCCAGACGAGCCACCAAGTAGATTCAGTAGATCCCTTAAGCGGGTTCCGAAAAAATATCCAACAAATATAGAGGCTTCCCAAATTGAAGGTTCTACTTTCGAGATCCTCCCGTGGGTCTGGATAAAGACTTTGCTATAATCCAGGGGCCTTCACAACTAGAATTGGGTTATGGGGCCCATTAGGCATATAAAGCCCTTATAGGATTTAGGGTTTGGGGCTTGGGGGTTCAGTTTTTCAACTTAGCTGCTTAGGATTCCCAACCCGTTAATTCTCAACCCTTAACCCTTGGGCTCCTCGCTGTCCCAAAACTGCAGGAAATACACAAGTTGAAACTTTCAGAATCGACTACTTGGAGGGTCTGGGGGACTTAGTAAGTAGGTAGTAAGTAGACTTATAAGTACCCTAAAAGGGACCCTAATTGGGGCTATGGTACTTATAAGTCCCGAAAATAACCAGTTATTAAGTCCCCCGACCCTCCAAGTACCTTATAAGAACCCCAAAAGCTGAAAAGTTGAGTTTACAGCCAATAAGGTTCTTAAGCCCAGAGCATCGGAACCTGAACCATGCAATTCTGTCCCAACACCCCAACGCCCAACCCCCCCCTGCCCCTCGCCGATAGAAGCCTGAATAATTAGTAAAAGTCTTCCCTTATTCTAAACCCTAGCATAGTCATACTATACTTACAGGATCACGGAACTTAGTTTATTGGGGTTACAAATAGGGTGACCATACTTATACCGTTACCTACCTTTAACACCAACGAAGGTATTTATAACCTTACGTACTAAGTCCCAAGATCCTCCAAGTACTCTACCCGAGAACCGTTCTCCTATTCTTAAAGCAAAGGGGAAAAGGAGGGACCCTTAATTGGGACCCCTACCCAAAAACGGGCTATATAATGGGTATATACTAGCTATATCAAGGGTATATACCTAGGGGTCCTTATTAAGGGTCCCTCCTTTACCCTTGGATTAAAGCACCCCCTTTTTCTTTCCAGGCTTTGGGGTCCGGGCACAGAAGTGCTCGCTGCAGAATTCCGGCCTGACCAATTTTCCGTGTTACTGGGTTTCCCAGAGAGCCCAATGCCCCTAAACTAAGGAATATAGCTTAAATCATAATATGAAGCCCTATATAATTTAAGCCATTTTCCTTAATTAAGGGGTATTGGGCTCTCTGGGTTTAGGGTTTAGGGTGTAGTGTAGGGTTTTACTCCCCAGACCCCCAGGAGGATCTAGGCAGTAGAACGCCTGACGTGGGACGTGTACTACTACAGGATACCTTTTTAGGAACATTCTATCATACTAAAGGATACTTTTTAGGAACATTCGATCATACTAAAGGATACTTTTAGGAACATTCTATCAAATTTCTGGATCCTCGGAAGGGGTATGGGCAACTGTCTTTGAAATGGTGATGCAAGGTGTTTGTAAGGGTCTCCTGGAATCTTATCCTATACTTGCAGAGAGACTGTAAACGGATACTATCACCGAATCAGTGAGGGCCCTGTATGGGGCGTTGCTAGAGCTTTGGGTGTATTGGTGAGGGCAATACTGTAGGGAATGTCGGGTTCACAATTTCATTTAGGTATGTCCCAAGTAGGGAAACTTCTTGAAGGTTTTAGGGTATAATGGGATCCCCCTGACGATAAAGCCTTAAAACACGCGGGGCCCGCCAGGTACTGCGTCGTCATGGGGAGACTCAAAATGAATCGACAGAGGCACAGGGGCACTTCTAGCCGCCCTGGGCTCCAGAATCCGGAACCGTGAACCCTCAACCCAAAACCCCAGACCCTGATCCCCATCCTCGGAAATCCTAATTACACTAGCACCCCAAAAGTTGGAAAACCAATAGCCTCAATCCTTAATAGTAATATGTAGGGAATCCCATCACTATTTTGCCTTAATCCGGTTTCCAACTTTATGGGGTTTACAGTAAGAGCATTTCGCAGTTGCGGCATGCTCGAACACTTAAAGGGTCATGGGACTTAGTAAGCGGGGCTGTAAATCAGGTAACTATACTTATATGTACTTACAACCCCAATTGAGGCACATGTAACCCTACTTACTAAGTCCCATGATCCTCCAAGTAGACCCTAAACCCTAAACCCTATAGATCCCTTTCAAGGAACCCCACAGATCCCTTTAAGGAGCCCCTTTTAAGGAACCCTTACTAAGTCCCATGATCCTCGAAGCACCTGACCGGTTGCCGTCCTCTTGGTCGTGGCATTTCTTTTTCAGGTCTACTAGAGAATGCTTGGAGGCCCTTTTGACTTACTAAGTAGGGTTAGTAAGGTGGGTTATGGGGATTATAATAGGGCTTCTAGGGGATACTAACCCTAAACCCTAAACCGGACTTACTAAGTCAAAAGGGCCTCCAAGCAGAGAATGGGGGGAGCAACGGTTCAGGGCCTGCTATAGGGGCCTTCGGAAGTAGACTAGGGCTTCGGGGCATACTATACTGCAACTATACTAGACCTAAGAGTAACCTAGGAAGAAAAGGGTGCCCTTTTTGGCTTAAAGGGGATTATAAGGGAACCTAAACCCTTAAAAAGGGAATAAGGGCCTACTCTGGGTCCCAGTATACTAAGGAACCCGAAGGAAAGTATCACAAACTATCCCGACCTCTATAAGAATCATTCAACTTTCTGCCCTGCCCCTCTCCGCTTATCGTTTTTCTCGCAGCTCGTCCCGGACACGGTCCTTTGACGCAGCATCAAAGCCTGCGAATTTCGGCTTCGACTGGTGCCATATGGCCGCGTGGACTGGAAACATGAACTAAACTGCAATGAAAACCTTATCCCATGTATCTTTAAAGGTTCTATATTGCTGAAGACCATCTGTGGGCACTGAGGGGCCGCCTTTTTCATCCCAACTGTCACGGCTAACTGAGCCGTGCGGACGGAGCTCAGGGGAAGAAGCTCATGCTGTCTGTTTTCTTTTCTGAACCTAAACCCTAAACCCTAAACCCTTGTACCCAGACCTTCCAAGATTTTCAATAACGGGATCCTTGGTTTTTAAGCCCTAAGGGTCCATGTACCCAAATAGTATATACTTAGGCCCCAATGTACCTATATAGGGATTACTTTAAGGCCAATGTACATACTATTTAGGTACATGGACCCTTAGGGAAGGAGCTACTGGGGAGAGTTGTGTGTTTAGGGTTTCTTAGTCTTTAAGCCCTGGGGTAGCTTGGTCGGGGCTTGCCCAGACCTTCCAAAATCCCTTAATTAAGGAATATACCTTAATTCATACTGGGGATTTTTTCTCATTTAAGCTACATTCCTTAATTAAGGGAAATTGATTTTGGAAGGTCTGGGTACTGCGGCTTTCAGGAGTTTAAGGTTTCGCGTTGAGTCTAGGGTTTCAGGTGTGTTTTGTTTGTGAGCTTACCCTAAACCTTAAGCCCTAAAGCGTTTTCGAGCTTAGGGTTTATTCGAGCTTGTCAAGCTTTGAGGTTTTGGGTTCCACCCATGGTGTGGGGCTCAAGCAATGATACGTAAGCCGGCACAGGCTGTCAGAAGGACTTGAGGTTTACGGTTCAGGATATCTGAATAATTTTCGTTGGTCTAGGGTCTTGGGGTTTAGGGTTTAAACGTTTTTCGGTGTAATGATACTTTGTTACAACTGTAATAACAACAAAGAGCCCTATCGTGTTGGCAATTATTCTGGCTTCTGTACTAGGGTGTAACGACTAAGGACTCACATAGCTCCCCCTCCCCTACCCCTTGCGCAAACACGCCCCGCCGCGGAGCTGGCTTTGCCAAGCCCTGCGAGAAGAATGCGTCCCAGGGTCGTCCTTTTGAGGTCTGTCTGTATGGTTGCGGGTTAAGTTCATGGGGCATGTGTATAAAATGCTTGAAACTATACTTTAGCCTGACCCTAGTCATCAATAAGAGTCCTTTGCAGAAGCTGCCTCATCAGCCTGTAAATGCTTCATAAAGTGACTTATTCACCTCTGAGAAGGACAACACTGCTGTATCCCCCTGCTGTAGTTCTGCATCCTCAAAACTCGATTCTTGTAATTTTTGTAATTCTCTGATGAAACAATGAACGTACCTTACTCGGTCAAAACCGCCGTCAAACCTTACAAGACCAAACTCACTGAGACCTGTCTCTTACAGTGGCAGCAGGGGGGCCATCATGGCTGACAGATAATCAAAAAGCGTTTCCCAAAATGGATTCCGATGCGGCACCGATTTTCCGGAGCGTTTATGGTTTGGGGTGAATTTGCCAGGGTTTGGGCATTGAGAGTTTTATCCTATCTTTATCTACATCTACGTACATGTATGTGTACTATATCTACACATGTACATATATATATATATAGATATAGATATAGATATAGATATAGATATGTCTGCAGAGAGAAAAGTGGAAATCAGGGACTAGTACGGGCTTATTGTTCCTAGTCTTGGGCTTTAGGTTGCGGTGTTCCAGGGGTTGCGGCGGAAGGCTAAGCCCCCAATTCGAAGAATCGCTTACTTGAGATATCGGCTGTGAAGAGCCAACTGGTAAGCTTCCCAGGCCTTCCAAGATCCCTCAATTACGGAAGACACCTTGATTCATGTTAGGGATCCAACCATAACTTAAGGAATATTCCTTAATTCGTATGAGGGATCCTACTATAATTTAAGGAATGTTCCTTAATTCATATTAGGGGTCCTACTATCAGTTAAGGAATATTCCTTACTTCATATTAGGGACCCTACTATAATTCAAGGAATATTCCTTAATTCAGAGATATTGGAGTCCCTGGGTTCACGAACCCCAGATCTGACTACCCTCCAACAACCTACGAGGCGCCTAAGGGGCTAAGACAATCTGAAGGGTCTCAGAATTTGGGATCTCTCTTAGTTGCTGAGTTCATAAGCCCAACTCCAAAGTGTACACTTTGAGTTTTATAGTGGGTACTATGATCCCAACAAGTGTAAAGTGTATCCACTCAGCTACTGAGTTCTGGATTTCCCACTCTAAGTCCCCTGATGCCCACCTCTGCCCCCGCCCCTCATAGGATCGTAGACTCAAAGATCATGTGGCTTAACAGATTTTTGGGCCACTACCTACGTTCAGTCCTGCATACTGAAAACAAACCCAGAGGGTCCATATACACTACTATCGTGGAATTACGTCCCAAGACCCATAATTGGGACGGTCTTTGGGGACCTAATTCCATACTAGTAGTGTATATGGACCCTCTTGGAGAGATAACCCTAAACCAGCCTAGTACGGAGAATTCTTTGCAGAGGCAAAGCATTGAAGGTCCCAGAGTCTTAGCACTGGGCCCTTCTAGTTCAAGATTATTAATATAGGGGCCTTAATAATTAGAATAGGGTTTGGGGGTTCCTTACTATAACTATAGTATAGTATACCCCCCCCCAACCCTTTTCTAACTATTAAGGCCCCGTATATGAGGGGCAGCACTAGTTTTATGACGATTAAAATACGGATTTGGGGGCATGCTGCAGTGCGAGTATAATGAGGAATCCTATGGAACCATGTTGGCAAATATGTAGGCCTCTACGTCTAGATTCCGAGTAGAAAGACCCTAAACCCATCTAGATCCCTTATAGAACCCCTTAAGGAGCCCTTTAAGGAGACTGAACCTTTTACCCTCTATGTTGCTAAGTTTAAGCCGCCGGCATCCAGAGTTTGGGCGCAGTTCTGCTTTCCGAGCTTCAAAAACAGCAGCGGCGAAAGTCGGGAAGTTTGCAATACCTAAACCCTAAGCCCTAAACCCTCTCATATCGGGGCATTCTTTACTGGATCCTGGGACTTAAATTTGTCTTGTTTCCGAAAGGGGCTGAACGTAACAGGTTCTACAGGGCTCAATGAACATAAAATAAACTAACCAGTGGTTTTGGGGGTTCCCTTGGCTCTTTAGTTCCTTATTTAATAGGGATTATCATCATCCCTGGCTCCTTAGCTCCCATAATATCAATGGTTAGTAAATTCCAAGCCCCAACCCAAGAACCCAAATCCGGAAGAGACACAAGAAGCCTTGCATGACCCCTCCACCCCCTATATAGCCCGTCAACCCTAGAC